AAAAATTACTGTGAAGTTTTTAAAAGATGTTTCCTAGCTTTTGAAAACAAAAACCGTGAAGATGTGAAACAGAGGATTTTATTACTGAAACTGCAACAATCCTTTCACTCCACAACAGCCGCAGGATCCCAAGCCAGAGGCTTCAGCAGCCTGGCACAGTCCGAGCTATGCCATTAGCTGAACGAGCTAGCAGGAGGAGGAGGATTCCCTCAGGTCAGAAAAGCAGAGAACTACCGAGAACACCGTGCCAAGGAGAACAGAGTGCTAGAGCACACCTGGACTTCAAATCTTTGTTCCAAGCACACGCATGACAGGTCTGAGCCACCCCCAAGCAACTCAAGTATTACTGGCTAGAAACGGAAACACAGGAAGTCTATCAAGGCGTCAGTGTTCGCATTTGCAACAAAAACAATGCTTGAAGCTTCACCCTGAGAGCTTTCAGAATTGCTTTTCAGGAAGAAGCAATGCTCATTCTCATTCTGGCTGGTGCATCTGTTTTCAGATGGTTCCAAAAGAAATATTTAATTTTTACTAAATAAAAGCCTGCCTTTTCTGGTTACTGAACCCCCTTTTAGATTTTGATACTATGTGGCAGGAATACTTGTTAACAAAAGTGATCTACTTGTATTTTTTTTGAAGGTAATTACAAAATAGAGTTTGAAAATAAAATTTCTATGAATATTTAAATAAGAAATAATAATAAAAGGAGATTATTTAATTGAGGAGGGAGAAAAAAAGGTCATAAATTATCACCAAGTGCTTTTTGAATTAATGAAACTGAGATATAACTAAAGTTAGTACCAAGGCAGAGATACAGCTACCTGTTCTACAAGTACCTCATCATAACCATGCAAATTACATACGAAGCTCAAAGCCAAGTATTATCAAATGCAAAACTAAGTGGAAGAGGAAGAAAACCAGATGGATTCACCTGGGCAAAAAAGAAGACAAGGAGGTGAAACAAATAATTTAGTGAACAGCCTTTAAATGGCTATATAGAACCTTACGATGAAACTCAATGCCACTGTCACTCCTAGGACCTTTTAGATCTTAGTCTATCTATTCTCTCAATAACAGCTTTATGAAAGCCTTACCTAAGCAGCAGCAAACAGTGACTGGAAAAAAAGATCTTGGGAAAAATCGTCTCGGCAATATTTTTAAGCTAGTATCATTACGCTTTTTACTAAAATACATACAAATTTTTTTTCCCTGACATGAATTACACAGTTCCCCCGAAATTTTGTAAATCCTTTTTTAAATTCATGTTTTGTAAGAGCTATTCCAACCCTTTACCCTTCTTAAGATCTGTCACTTAAGTATCAAAGACAGATTTGCATTTCAAAAGCCAACTAAAAAACCATACTGTAGTAAGGCACTGATTAAAAAGTGCTGTGGCTTTACATAAATTAAGCCGTTCCTTTCACTTTTCCTCATTCAAATCCATCATAATAGTGGCAAAAACCTATAAAATGTATAGAGTACATGACCACTATACCACCTCCCTCCACTACCCTGATGCTTGTGCAGTCACATTCTGGTTTCAAAGAAAGCAAGCAAAACCACTTTCAAAAATAAATGAATTATTTCACAAATCCAGTTTAGACCATGATGACATGGTTAAGCCTGCACAGCGAGAGGAAGCAAATGAGGAAAGAAACAGTGGAAACTACTCAACCTTCATTCGCTAGAAGGAACCAAAATCTGGAATCACAAACGCACTTAACAGGAAGAAGAGATACATGTATCCTGAAACTACTCATCATTGAAGAAAACTAACAAATTCCTTGCTGGTTGTAATTTCTAAAAATCAAAGACTTACTACTAGCAGTCTGGCAGAACAGTAAACTACTTACTATCAAGGTGCAGTAGCATACAATTTCAAGTTACAGGCTAATCACGCTGATTTAAAGTATTCTTCATCATGTAATACTTCATCGTAACTTCTGACTTGTTTTTCAGAAACTAAAGAATGAAAATATCAATTTCTACAGGAGTCTCAGTTGCCACAGAAACTTTGACTCCCGCACCTCAAAAAAACCTGAAGAGTAAAGGCTTCTCATCTATTGCCACGTATGGAAAAGGTTCTTCGAAAGCACACTGTCACACGCACTACACACTTCCCAATCCACGCCACCACCAATTCTCCCCTGCCATGACACATTTATAGCACTGCGTCCAAAGCACAAATTGAAGCAAGAAACCAAGCAAGCAGGTCTCTAACACAATGCATTCAGTCACTGTCTGAACAGTCTGCGCTCAGGTATCGAGAGTGTATGTTTTGGTTTGATTTTTTCATAGAAGGGTTGACTAAACCCCTCTGGCATCCTGCAACACCTCAATATCTGTCATCCTATCAATATCTGTCAATCCTTATCAATATCTGTCATCCTATGGCAATAAGAGAGCTTCAGTTTCTGATGCTCACAAATTTTAGATCTGTCAAACCCTAATATATAAGAAGTTCTTTAAATAATTTGAGAAATTTATAAAAATTTATCAGCCTGTTGGTCCTTTAGGCAAGACTCACTACAGGTGAGCACTACCTATCAGCTGTTAGGGGAAACAGTGCAGATGTAAGCCTAAAAACTCCAAATCTGTATTCATTCAGATATATGATGTAACACAGAATATTTTTACTGGATTTTCTTTGCCGTGGCCTACATTATTCACGAGATTTTGGCATTTTCAGGTAATGAAGTTATTTAATGAATAAGTAACAGTAAAAATATGCAAGCTATGCTCATAATATTCTCTTTTAAAGAAATTAGGTGCATCACAGTACAACATTCACACACTCCGTACGAGTTCAGCATACCACTGCTCAATTAGGCAGAGAATTAGCTGCCTCTCGCTGTTATCTTGCGGCCGAGACCTACTATGCCAGCTATCCCCAGACTTGCCACAGCCTGAAAGCTTCCATTTTAAAGAAAAGAGGGAAGTAATATTAAAAACCACTGATAAAACTGAGGGATTCAATCAGGTCAAAAAAAGCAATATAGTCAAACCTGAATTTAAATATTCCAACTCTTACTCCAAAGCCTTCAGCAACCAAAGCTACCCCTGCCCCTAACTAAAGGATTAAACTCTGAGCAGTCTGGCACAGCTCTTGGCGCTTAACTGAGTCAGGAAATGGGTTTCCACACCCCTACATTCAACAGATCTTTTGGAGCAGCAGAACGACTTATGCACACTGCAGCCAGAGGATGCTCTTGGGCAGGTTTCTAACTTAACAGCAGGGCATAAGGCAACGCAGAATACGTGTCAAGCACATTTCCTCCAGTTCTGAACAAAAAAATTACAATTTTTATTGCATGGAATTGATCAACAATCTGCTAATACAGCTCCTAGGCCAACAGGAGACAGAGGCAACCACTTGTGCAGTAAATGTTCATATTAGCTTGGCTTAGGTTATATTTGTTCGGTTTTCTACCAAAGCTGTTTTGAAAACAGAACTCATCAGAATTGCAGGGGGGTTTTAAAATACAAAAAGACTCTTTAATATTCCATTGTACTAAAGCTTATCAATTAAATAATATCTTCTACATTGATACAGGAAAATTGAACTGGAAATTTTGAAAACATTTTGGATTAGCTTCATTTTTAACCCCATTAACTTTACCTAATGATCACATAGACGAGAATGATAACAGAAGCAAGACACAGAATGATCTCACTTGGAAAGCCGCAGAATTAATCAGGACAGCAGCAATGTAAGAAGCCGGTAATTGCCCGAGATAAGTGTGTGAGAACTTCTTTCATTGTCCTCATTGCCAGCAAAGTTAGAAATGTATTTCTTATTCAGAGACTCTGAAAGTCACTCCTTCAAGGTATAAAACCCCAAATTTTTGTTTTTATTTCTGACATTTCTAATGTTTCATAACAATGCTGCAAGCTAACTTAATCGAAACAACATCAGAATACAAATGACAGTAAGCAGCAGCTCTGGGAAACGCTGTAGCACTAGTCAGAAAGAATTCATTACCTTGAGACATTTATTAAGCAAAGAAAAAAACTGTTTGAAAAAGACTGGCAAACATCATTAGAGAAACAAAATGAAAATGCTTCATAGGCTTCTTTCCTAGTTACACTGCCTTAGTTTACCTTTTTTTTGCTGGTTTTTAAAGTCTCAGTCTCACTATCATAAAGTAATTGTGAGTCTCTTTCAGCTACAGGGTTTACAAAACACTTACACAGTCTGACACTCCTGATCCCAGAGATATAAACAAAAGACATTCTGAAAACACACCACTTTCCCCAGTCATACTCTTTATTCTTACCTGCAAATGTCATCTACTCACTGCTTACTATCTCCTAAACAAAGCTATTACCAAGTCACACCTAAAGGTTACCCAAAACACCAAAGCTCAGATATGACTTGGGCTTCCTAAGGTCTGCCAAGAAAGCTTGAAGCATTGGGTTGGTTCTCAGTTTTCAAACGTCCTTGTTCTCACCTGATACTCAAGAAAAATACAAACCCCCAGCACTCCTCCTTTCTCTACCAGTCTTCTAGCTCTTTAGAGATCATACATCACTAGCTTTTAGGAGCTTCTCAAACCTTTCATGACAGAGGGCAGATAAACCTCAACATTTAAGCAGGCAAAGAAAGTTACTTTTAAGGCTACTTATACATATTTATACCTAAAGAAAGAACTGTGCTCTCCCCACCTCCCCTCACCCCCCATTCTAAGTTGTGGGTAAGTCTTCATTGTGATTACATGTACCTGACACCTTTGGTTTTTTTACTCCATTCATTTCAGTTTTCCTGATCCTCAGCACTTTCTGAGAAATACCCACACATTAAGCTGTTGAGATGAATGGAATATATAACAACTTTAAGCTTGTAAAAGGAGAGATACAGCCCAAGCTTCACTGATAAGTGATAAAACTATCTTTTCCTCTCTTGGAAAGCGCCTTCCTCTTTCTGCAAGGGCAGAGTATACGTCTACATTATCATGCTGTTACTCACACTTCACAAAAAAAAAAAAAAAAAAAAGACTTACCTGCTACTGTGAGCTTCGCTGTTCTGCTGACAATGGTCCCCAGGCTTTCCACAGTTGCCACACACTGGTAATATCCTTCATCAGGTTTATTATGCTTGGAATGCACCACACTGTTTATTAATAAAGATCCATCTGGTAGCAACTGGCGACGGTCATCTGACACCAAGTTTAGAAAAGTCCCATCTTTTTTCCATGCAATTTTAGGAGAAGTTTCGCAATAAGCTGAACAGTTCATTATAACTGACGCTCCGCGAACTGACAGAATGTCCACTGGCTCCACCAGAAAGTAAAAAGGAGTGAAGGTTCGCACAAGGGATCCTGTAAAACACAAATCACATCACACAATTTCTGGGTTGCCTCCTACATTTCTTAAACATCAAACGCGTCCTCATCTCAAAATATTGTACTGCACCCAAGAGCCACTTCTCACAATATTGTCTCCCTGAACATAGTAGAAATATCTTGGCCTATGTGACAGTATTTTCTGCTTTGACTGTTTACACCCATGAACTCTTACATTCAAAGAAGTTTTCATCCCTGTAACATATTCATCTGCTCATGTTGCATGCCATGTGGTTAACAGTCATAGAATCATAGAAAGTTTTGGGTCGGAAGGGACCCCTAGAGGTCATCTAGTCCAACCCCCCCGCAGTGAGCAGGGACACCACTAACTAGATCAGGTTGCTCAGAGCCCTGTCCAACCTGGTCTTGAATGTTTCCAGGGATGGGCCTTCCACTACCTCTCTGGGCAACCCGTTCCAGTGTTTCACCACCCTCATTGTAAAG